CTTCGCTAAGAAAGTAATGTACGATGATAAATTAATGAATATTCAAGCCATATTGAATAACGTCCTTCAGCAAAAATCATTAATACTGTACTATGAACATTCATCCTTTTAAATGCTTCTTCCATCTCGATTCCATAATTGTGACCCTTGAAGGAGCCGGCCGGTGAGCCTGCTCGCCACTTGCATATTTCAAAGGAGGCGGAGGTTTCAACATCAATTTTAATTCATTGTGGGGAACAATAAAATAACCTTGATGGTCCGAAAGGCCTTCCTGCTCGCCAGGCTTGCATATTTCAAAAGGAGCGATGACAAAGGTCCTTTATTATTTCAACCTTTCCCTGGTAAAAATTTTTTGAAATTGGAAAAATTTTTACGAAATCTGATCCTTTCGATTTCGGCTTAAAGGACCTGTATACAAATAATAATAAAAAGTGTTGTAACAGGGATTGAATTTTTAATATCAAGCATCCAATCATTTTTAATTAAGTTTTGAAATAATGAAATGTTTCGGTCAAAATAACTTTAATAACTTTATTTAATCTAGAAAGGCAAGAACAGAATAAAAATATAATTTGTAAGTTAATAAATACAACAACAAAAAAAATTTCTTAACTTTACACAAGTATTAAACCAAGCTTATTAAAAATTTATTTTCAATAGCCAAGAAATTTTGACTACAAAGGATGATTTTTTTGAACAAATAATTTTTTGATAATTAAATTACAAGCGGTTTTATATGAAAAAAAAATTTTTTTTTAATCTATTAGATTAAATCACATAAATAATGATCAGGAGTTTAATTTTGATTTTGATCTAATTTCGGAATTTTGGTCTTGGATTTCAGAATTTCAGTCTAATTTTGTATTTTTAATTTCATAGTTTAATAAAATAGTATATTATTCTTTTTTGATATAATAATATTTGTAAGAAATTTAAACTTTAAATAATTCAATGTAAATCTAAATTAAAATTTTTAGGTCGAAAGTTATTTAAATTATGTATAAATTCTTTCTTTGCAAAATAAAGAGGTTTTAAACTTATAGGTATATCTATAACAATCAGTATTTTGTAACATGTGATTAAAATGCATTTATTGTCTTTTTAAATATTTTTGTTTGAAATTGATGAACTTCCTATTCCTAAATCATATAATGAATGTTTATATAAATCTTGAAGAATTTGAAAATCAATGCAAAAAAAATGAAGAGGAAGAATATTAAATGAAACTGATGAATTTTAAGTATAATAACACAATTGATGATAAATTTACTAAAGCAAATTAGATACTGAATATTAATTAATTTTATGAAAATAGAAGCAATAAGATATCAGATATTTTTATTTTTGCTTAGAATTTAGCAAAAAAGAATTTCGAAAATACAAACACGTTCTGTATATAACCATGCTATTGACTGTAATAAAAAACTGTGACTATCCCATCGCTAAAAATCCGAAAACGACTTTCAGTATAACCAGGTGATTACTTTATCGGCTAAGAAAAGAATCTAAGATTTGATCATTATAATAGCACGGATGTAAGCTGTAACTTTCGAACTAATAATCTGTGGATAGCTTGAAGCTCATGATGACTTGAATATTGAGAAATTAAGCAAGTCATTTATTTCAACCATCCTTTTGTAATCATCATATTAATGTTTCCTTGTTACAGATTAGAATTCAGATATAGTTTTGCTTATTATAGAATTGAGTTATAAAATAATTCAACTTCAACTTGGTGATTTACTTTTCGTGTAGGGAAGCTATAAATTCACTGTTAATGTCAATAAAAAAGCATGAAGTTCAAGTGTCAACGTTTTTAAACCATGTACAAACCATTTGTGATTTATCAGGGAATGTGAGGACATCTCGCACTTTGGGGGACTCGTCTTTGTCAACATAGAAACTAGCTTCAAGCTTTCCAATTATTTCTTCCTGTTCCATCAGCTTGTCCTATCATACACAAATAATTAGCACCACTTCATCTGATGCTAATTTCTTTTAAGATACTTACATGAAACCGAGCAATCATCTTCAAAAGACCCATGTATCTCATTCGGGAAGAAAAAGAAAATGGTATCTTCGCTGATTCTAATTCCTCTGCCAAGAATTTACCTCCTTCCATGAGATTGAGACTGTATAATGTAATTCGATCACCTGATGAACAAAAGATCACAATTAGTAGAGATTGTATCACCGTAAAACTGGTATGTCTATTACTTGACAACTAAAGACTTTTAATTTCTTCGCCATTCGTATGGGAGCCGACAGGTATTCTCGTAATACAGCTATTAAAGTTAAAAGTTCCAGGTTCATGGATTTTCGCATATTATCATTAGCATGTTTCATTGAAAAGATACTCGGAGATCCGGCTACTTCCAGATGCCACGTTTCTTAATTGTCTTGTATTCGTATTCCGTTGGCATCAACTTTAACGATGCCCGATTGTGAGGGTAACCTAGCCAACTTTGCTGCATGGGAATGTGCATCAATCCTTGTTTGAAAAAATGACGCTTAAGTTAGTTATTTGCGAACAGTTAAAATAGGAATGCTCAACAAAAGCCTACCAATTGAAGTACATTAGATCAAATGTCCTTTCATAAAACTTAAAAAGCGGACTAACAGTTTGTACAATATATTTCCTTTCTCCAATATTCATGGAATTTGTAGGAAAGTTTTTTTTTGGTTAGTTATATGTGGTGACTTTATTATTTTGGATGAACTGTGGCAAAAAATATATACGTACAAATCTGTCAAGACTTTCTTACAATACAGTTGGAACTTAGGTTCATCGCTCATGGTCTGCCTCAGTGAATCTTCGAAACCTTCCTTCGGAGTCTGCATGAAAAAATAGTGTTTCAGCTAATAAATTTCTCGAAAATAAAATCCAAAAACCAAAATGAATTGGGAGCAAATGTACGTTCAAGACTGCATCTAAATATTTTACTATATGCGTCCAAACAGATGGTGGTTTTAGTGCCCTTCTTTTAATATCACTGCGGCTATTTCCTTCCCCAGCAACTCCGGAAGATAATGCATGGTATTCTTGAATGCACACACAATTGACATATTTCCATAACAACTATTAAATAACAAACACATTATTGTTAAGTCATTCAGTTATGCAGAAAGAACAAATGAAGGAATCGTACTGTTCTATCTCATCATGAGTGAGTTTCCGTTTGTTTGGTGTAGATGTAGGTGTTAGCGTTGATGGAGATGGTGATTAAGTGTACATTTCTTGTACCGGAAGGTGGTTAAACTATCATTCAGGAGGAAAAGCGGCTGGGATTAAGTACATAAGCGAGCGAAAGATTATCAATGCAGACTGACAAGCAAACCTACTTCGTTTCCTTCCTGTTCCCCTTCCCTTCCTCCTCCTAGCCTACGTTTCGTTTGTATTCTTTGTATTAGTAACCATTTTCATCTCCTTTAACAAAGTTTTCGGGATACTTACTGTCAGTGCCATAATTAAGTTTTTGGCGTTTCACGCCATCCTCCAAGTTGGCTATGGTTTTTGTGGTATCATATTTCATGCCTAATTTTTAGCAGAGCTGCTCCCTGCGTTATCTATCATTGTAATACTGAATGTTAATAAAAGGTATGAAGTACAATGTTGAACTTTCGTAAAGGTCAAATATGCACAACATTACGAATTTCGCGGCAAAGTGAGTAGTATCCATTTTTATGTGACCAACTTAAAGGGTCTGTCTTGGACAGATACATCGTGTCAAGTGTATTAGAATCAGCATTAGCAAATTCAGCCAACAAAAATTACGCGAGGATGTTGGAAAATCTACTACGCGATTTGTAGTTTTGACTTGATTGGCCAGAACGTTTGTACGACACAAACTCGAGTTTATAAATGCTAAATTTGGGTGATACAAAAATTGAAAGGCATTTCGAAAAACGAACAACGGACTAGTAAGGTCTGGACCCTCCGAGACACGTTCTTTGCTTCCAGTCTGATGCGTTGCATTCGGGCATAATGCTAAGAAACCTTATCAGTGGCGCAACGTCTAGATCGCAGGTAAGGCGGTAGGACTGGACCCTCCGGGACGAGTCTCCCGTTCTTGGCTTTCAGTTTGATTGCGTTGCGTCGAGCATTAGGCCAAGAAACCTTATCGGTGTCGTAGCGTCCGATTAGCTTTTTAGTTCTAAAGATTTCATTTACAGATGTTGACTTTTAACATTCTTGTCTAATTAGATCAGAAGGTTCCTCTCCTAACTGAAATGACAGCGGCCCTTTGAAAAAGGGACATGATTTTCACCATTTTGTTTTACCTTGATGTAAATGAGATTATGATGCTAGATGGTTATAAATATCTCATACAAATTACCTGATTCCAGGACGAGAATCCAGGCGACATGACAAGCATGTGTTTGGAATATAATAAGAAGTTCTATGCCATGAATTACGACTCAATAGGAAAGTCTCATGCGTTATGGATTCCATAATATTGATTGTGGGATGAAGCTTCGCAACACACCACTTGACAAACACATGAGACGGGTATTAAGGTTCCGTAAAAATGAATCAACATTAAGGTTGTCGAATTGATGGGATCAGAATATAATCATATTTTTGTATTATGATATGTAAAGAATAAATTTTATCCCGTAATTTTTCCTGAATATGTAACACGTGAAAGATCATCGATCAAGACAATCATCGCATGTCGCAAAAACGCGTAGAAAAAAATGCTTTTGTCTCGATCTATGGTATTGGAAAGAAACATCACAAGAAATTCTAATCGAAAATAAATATAAGACGTTGGATGTACATGTAGCTGTGAGGTAAGTAAAGTTAGAAAACATCTTGATAAATCACTCTAATTTCATATAAAATTATAAAATGTTAATTGAACTTACCTCCTGTCCTCTTGATGCTTTTCATCTCGAAGCCAGATACTACTTTTTTCCCTATAACTAATCAGGAACTGTTTCATTCTAAATGTCTGGGTGCGAGCGCAGTGTAGATTCCATTTCGATCATCACGTTAAATTTAAAATTTTTTTTTTTTTTTGTAAAATTTTAAGTAGATGTAATTTAAAGCATTTATTATAAAAATAAATGTATTATTTAATTATAACTTCTTTAAAAATTAATAATAATAATATAATTTTATTTTTTTATTAAGATTTTATACTATATATATATCTTTAAATATATTAAAATATATTTAATTTAAAAATCTAGATTATACTGCAGATTTATCTATAATTGTTAGCTTTAACTTTTTTTTTTATAAATAAATTAATAAATATTATATATTTAATTTTTAATTTAACATGTATTAAAAAAAAATTAAAAAAAAATAAATATTATAATATATATTTTTTTAAAATATTATTATTTAAACTTTTATAATATAAAATTTTAAAGTATTATATTATATTTAAGATATTATAAAAAATAGATTAATAAATTATTATTATATAAAAAAATATATATATTATAATTTAAATTTTTAATAAAATTATTTTATTATTTTATTTTTAATTATATATATATATTGTCACCATGGAATTCTTCAACTCAGGGTGGTCACGTTATCCAGTCTCTACTTGAAATTTCTAACTGCAGTCTACTGTGGTTAAGACGTTAAGATCTGGCTAACTCTTAACTTTACTAAATTTACGCGTCAGACTTAAACAAATTTATCAAGTATGAAGACTTAAAAGCATAGATTGTGAACAAATTTAATTAAAGAATTCAGATGACGAACTCAATTACAAATAATGTGTAGGGATCACGTCAGACTATATGAAGACAC